CCCACTCTTCAGCACAAGCTTTGAACAGGTACAGGCCCCACCCGAGGGCACAGCTCCTCACTGCTAGGGGAGAATGACATTCCTTGGTTACAGGTGGACACGGAGTTTTGGAAGATCCATGGGATGTGATACGTTTCTACCTTGGCTGTGAGTTCTAGTTCCAGGTCATAGGTGCTGTGCCTCAGTATCCCCAGGGCACTTTCAGGACAGGGACACATCAGGAGGTAAAGGAAACATTTGCTTCATGAGAGAATGAGAGGGGACTGCAAACTCCAAGACCCCGGAAGTGAATGTTTATTGTAACTAAGTTGTCTTCAGTTGCTGGGAAAGTGTATCAATGGATGAAAACTGAAGTCAACAGAGGATTAATAAGCAAGTCTTTTGTGCCTCATGAGGAAATCAAGAGCTGTGGTTTGGCAGGATCCCAGGACAGAGTCAGGAACGTGGAGGAGTGGCAGGGAAGGAGAAGCTGCTGTGTCTGCAGGATGGGGGCTCCCAGAGCAAAGGGCAGGGAAGTGGGACACGTGTGACTGCAGAATGGGGTGGCACGTGTGACCGTGGGATGGGGCCAGAGCGATGGCAAGAGGCAAAGTGCCTGAATCTGTGTCAGAAAAATAAGCACCATCTCCAAGAGTCAGATCTGAGAACCAGGACGTCAGAAGAATGTAAACATCAGTGTCAAGGACAAACACACTAAGAAAAGAAGAATCTCTTTCCTTCCAGGTCTCAGGTCGTGGCCATCGACCCTCCTGCATGTCAGCATCTCCAATGCTCAGGCTCTCTCCGTCCCCAGGTGTTTTTGTCAGGTTACTCTCTGCTGCCATCTGGTGGCCACTCTACACTGGCTGCTGGTGGCTCAGAGGTCTCCTGGGTCCAGGTGTAGCTTCAGAATCTGCTGCTCAGGTCCCTGATTCTTTGATTCATGGACTGCTGGCCTCAGGGAGAAATTCCTCTTCTCTGCGTGGCCCTTTCCTGCCTCAGGACCCAGAACAAGGTGCTCAGATTCCTGATGGAAATACAAACACTCCATGTAATAGAGGAGGTGGCAGGACAATCCCGAGGCTCCCTGCACGTCTCTCTGGGTGGTTGGTGGTCCTGAAGGGAAACTGGGGCTTTGTGCTGAGAGATACAGGACTCAGGGGTGTCTTTGACTGGTTCTGGATACAAATAGAGGGCCAATGCGGGTTGGTGGTGACTCCTGTAATTCAACAGAGACAGAAGTTCATTCACCCAACAAGTATTCCTGACCCACTCTGTCCCAGCAAGACATTTTAGGCATTTTAGGAATTCAGCATGAGGAATACACATTTCTTGCTCTCAGGGGTTTCCCGTCCTGTTGTGGGATCAGTGCAGTGGGCACACTGGGTTACAGACCCAGCAGACACTCCCTACCACCTTCTACCTGTGTGTCATCTCCTCCATTCACTTGAAATCCAGGCAAATTCCCAGTTTCTCCCTGCCAGGAGCAACCATGTAGCTCAGCGTTGGTCCATGGGATGTAACTATCAGATGGCTGAGGTTCTTCTCAGGGAAGTGTTAAGTAATTTGATTAGTGTATACATGTATCAATGTATATGAATTGTACACCTTGAATCCATGCAATTTTTACTTGTCAATTATACCTCAGGAAACCTGGAAAACATCAAACATTACAGACACCTTACTGTAGTTTGTGTCTCTTGCCCAGTAAAAGCGCCTGGAGCTTAGCAAAGCACTTGATGTTTGCCCTCACACTGTTCTTCTCTCATTCCAACTGTCGATCAGAAAGAACCATCCAACAAAAAACACCTCCAAATTGTTTAATTCATTCAGAAATTAGAAAACAGAACATGGGCACAGTGGCTCCTGTCTGTAATCCCAGCACTTTGGAAAGCTAAGGTATGAGGAACACTTGAGGCCTGGAATTCAAGACCAGTCTGGGCCACACAGTGAGACTCTGTCTCTACAAAAAAAAAAAAAAAAAATTAATAAAGTAAATACATAAATTAGCCAGGTGAGGTGGTGCATGCCTGTTGTCTTAGCTACTCAGGAGGCTGAGGTGGGAGGATTGCTTGAGCCAGAGAGCTGGAGGCTGCAGTGAGCTATGATTATGCCACTACGCTCCAGCCTTGGTGACAAAGCAAGACGCCTGTCTCAAAAAACAAATAAGTATAAAAATAAAAATAAAAATAAATTTACTGTTATGTATAAAATTTTTCTTTTGGTGCCACAAAGAAAAATTGGTACTGGGACAAAGGATCTCTCAGCAAAGCAATTCTTTTTACTTCCCACAGAAAGGGTACTCCCACCAGCAATCCTTCCATGAGAATACCATGAACAAAGGAAAGCAGACATATTTCACATTTGGGGTTGTCCTGACTGCTGTGTCTGATCTCCGCTGGCTGGAGCCAGACCTCACAATCTAAACTAAAACCTGACTGGCTAATAACTTGAAACTTTTCTAAACAGATAGAAGCAATGGAGAACAAAAAAATGAAGTCCAAATAAGGAAGAACAGGCTGTGAGCTGGGACATGCCTGTGGGCACATCCAGCACAGATGTCTTGGTTAAAGTACAAGGGCACAGAATGCACTACGTGCCTGTAAGGATGTCTAACAGCTACGTAGGACAGGGCTTCTAGCAAAAAGGCAAGAAGGCTTTTGAAGAAAGTGTTTAAAACAAACTATTATTTCTAACACTTATGAATTTTTCTTAAACAAGAAAGGAAACTTTGAAGAGGCACTTTTCTAATTCCCAGATTTACAAAAAAAAAAAAAAAAAGAAAAAGAAATTTAAAAAAGAAAAGAAGCATCATAACCTAAGATGCATAGCGATGGCCAGCCGCAGATGCATCTGAAGAGGGGAGGGCAAAGGGAAGGTTGTACCAGCAAACGCAGAGGTTTAGATAGCCTGCTTAGAAGCAGAGTTCATTGATGATGGAGACTCAAAACCACAGCTGTCAGTTCATTGGTGGAGATGCTGTTCCTAGGCAGGTGTTCTTTCTTTCTTTTTTTAAGACAAGAGTTTTGTTCTTGTTTCCCAAGCTGGAGTGCAACGGCACAATCTTGGTTCCCCACAACCTCCGCCTCCAGGGTTCAAGCGATTCTCCTGCCTCAGCCTACCAAGTAGCTGGGATTACAGGCTTGTACCACTATGCCTGGCTAATTTTTTGTATTTGTAGTAGAGACGGGGTTTCTCCATGTTGGTCAGGCTGGTCTCGAACTCCTGACTTCAGGTGATCTGCCTGCCTGGGCCTCCCAAAGTGCTGGGATTACAGGTGTGAGCCACCACGCCTGGCCGGCAGGTGTTCTTTCCAAAACACCTTATCTAAATTGCTGTGGTCCTAAAATGGGAATGTCTGCAGAGTTATTTCAGAAAGCCCTGAGACAGCCATTCCTTTTAAAAAATAGAGATGAGATCTTGCTAAACTGCTCAGGCTGGTCTTGAATTCCTGGCCCCAGGGGATCCTCCAACCTTGGCCTCCCAAAGTGCTGGGATTACAGGGGTGAGTCAATACACCTGGCTTCCGCTTTTATCTCAGCCATGTAAGCAGGAGCCTTTCCCTTCCATATCCTCAGGGTTTTAGTTTGGGTCAACAAAAGGTAAGTTTATTTTGGTATCTGCAACTTTCACACACCCATCACCATAAAAGAAAGGACAAGCCTCAACTGACAGTCAGCACTCCACAGGGATCCTCCACAATCCTCTCTCCTCTCTCCTCTCGCTGGCAACCTGCCCATGCCATGATTCCTCTCTATCCATCCTCCTCTGTGGACACACTCTGTCCATGACCACGCTCTGTCCTATGAGGCAGGACCAGGGTCATGTTCACTTTCTTCTCTCCCCTCCCTGACATTTGTTCCACTCCCCAACTTGTCCTCCACGCATCAATCTCAGTGGAGCAACAGCAATCAGATGAGAAAAATAAATAATGGTGGCCAGTCTTCAAATGGATCCCCTTTTCAATCCTGCACTATCCATCTGCTGCCTTCTCTTCAGCCTCCCCTCTGCCCCAGTTTCTTTCCCTTCTCAAACTGGACAAGCGCCGTACTCCCTCAAGTTGTGTGCAGCCCGTTCCCATGCCCTGAACTCCGGCCCTTCAAGCTCCTATGGCTGCTCCCTGCTCAGGTCTCAGAAAAGGAGTCCTGAGCAACCCTGCCAGGGAGCTGCCTTGTTGGCTGTCTTGAGATGATTCGCTACGACTTCCACCTTAAAACAATGGTCTTCTTGTTTTGTTTTTGTTTTCAACCTAAACTTTATACAGTCAGAAATTGTACATCTTTGAACATCCACAGCCACTGAAGGACAAACCTTTGCTGAATGCCTCAAGCAGAGACCGGGAGGCCGAGTCTCCATTACCAAGGTGAAAACATGATGGTTTTTATCAGCCCCATTATTTTATTTATTTTAAAGACGGGGTTTCACCATGTTGGTCAGGCTGGTCTTGACCTCCCGACCTCAGGTGATCCGCCCGCCTTGGCCTCCAAAGTGCTTGGATTACAGGCGTGAGCCACCACGTCCAGGCTTATCAGCCCCATTCTATGTGACAATCCCTGGTCGAATCTGGATCAATGCAATGACTTCCTTTGTATGTACCTGTTTTGCTCGCGCATTCATCCATCCGTGCAGCAGGGAACCCGCAGTTCTGTTCACTAGCATGGGGATCCCTAGGGGAATGGCAGGCCAGAGTCACAAAAAGACAGCCAGCCTCACCACACTGCCGGTTGCTCTTAGTCACCATGATCATCATAGCCTATGGCAGGAGATTCGGGGTCTCCCTTTCAGGAAAACACTGTTTGTGGAGGCTGAGTACTTCCCGGGCCTGATTGAGAAAACAATTCAATAGACCCAAAGAGATTCCCGGCGCTCAGCAAAGCACTTTTCCGAGTGACGGGAGAGGGGGCCGGAACACGTGGACTGGGCCTGGAACAGGGGCCCTTCCGCTTGGCTCCTAGCCCCTCCCTCCCCCCCTCACCCGGAAAAGCTCCTCCCCATCTCTGTAGAAACCTGACTGTCCTCCTAGAGCGCCCGGGAGGAAGTGGGTTTTGCGCACACTCCCTGTTGACTCCAGTGCCCCCTGCTGGCGCCAGACGTGGGACCTCCGCGAATCCGGGCACAGCTGCCCAACGGCCAGACGCAGACGCAGGGCCCGCCGTGCTTTGGCGCCGCGCCGGGACACCCCGCCCGTCCCCCAGGTGTGACCTATCAACAGGTATGTATTGGCGACAAAACGAGCAGCCCTCAATGCCGGGAAAGCAGGGCCGAGTCCTCTGGAGGCACGGGGAAGGGGTGTGGCGTGATGCGGGAGCACGGGAGAGCCGAGAGGAGCATGCGCAGGCCTCAGAAAGTTCTGGAAAACTGACTCACGGGAGGACGCGCCCTCCAGACAGAGCGCAAGTCCATTGAATCCCGGTGGGGGTCTCTTCAGCCTTGGGGGGTTGCAGAAGTAGGTAAATACAGGTAAATATGAAGATTTACCCGGCCAAGGGCAGCGGCGTCTTTTCTAGACCAGCGGGACGGGATGGGGCGAGGACCTCCGCTCGGGGGACCCTGGAACCGGCCGCTGCACCCCGCATCCCACTGAGAGAAAGGGGGATCAGTAGAAGCACAGACCCAGGGCAGGGTCCAGACCTGGACCGCTTCCTGATCCCGGAACCCTCCATCCCACATTCCCAGCCAGCCCCCCACCTCCCCACTGCCTCTCCGTTCACCAGCTGTAGCCCATTTCTCCACCCTGCCCCCACTGCGGTCTTGGGGCAAGGCCACAAGCGTCACCCATTTACCCGTCCCCAGCACTACTCTAGCCCCTTCTGCCACCCTCCATCTTCCTCCCCATCCCAACCCCTCCCCAACCTTTCTTCCCTCATCCCCACCTCCATCCTGTCTCCCTTCCCCCGTTGCCATCCCTGCCCCACCCTCTCTCTTCTCCCATCTCCACACCTCCCCCACCCTTTGTCTCCTTTTCCCCATCCCCGCCCCTCCCCACCCTCTCTCTGTTCTCCCATCTCCACTCCTCCCCCAACTTGCCTCCCTTCCTCCATTCCCACCCCTTCCCCAACCTCTTTCTCCCATCCTCCACCCCCACCCCTTCCTGCCCTGTCTCCATTCCGCATCCCCACCCCTCCCCCACCCTGTCTTTGTTCTCCCAGCTCCACTCCTCCCCCACCTTCCTGTCTCCCTTCCCCCACACCTTCTCCAACCTCCTTTCCCCATCCCCACCCCTCCCCAACCGTCTCCATTCCTCCCCACCCTTCCCCCGCCCTTCATTCCTCTGTCCCCTCCCCTCCCCCACCCTGTCTCCCTTCCCCCGTCTCCACCCCTCCCCCACCCACTGTCTCCATTCCTCCCCACCCCTGCCCCACCCTGTCTCCCTTCCCCCATCCCCACCCCTCCACAACCCTCTGTCTCCATTGCTCCGTCCCACCCCTCCCTCACCCTGTCTCAATTCCCCCGTCCCCACACCCTCCCCCACCCTGTCTCCCTTCCCCCCATCTCTACCCCTCCCCCACCCTGTCTCCCTTCCCCCATTCCCTCCCCTCCCCCACCCTTTCTACTCCCGCCTTCCTAGGATGCCTACGCCACTGGGTGGGCCATTCCCAACCCCCAGCACCTAGGAAGGTGTAGGCACCCTTTGGCTGCAAGACAGTAGTCAGAGTCCTTGACCACAGGAGTCACTTGTGACGGAACACATGGTCTGTTGTTCCTTCTGCCCCCTGGGTCAGCCCAGGAGACACTGGTGCTCAGGTTTGGAGCTACGGATTTGCAGTGAAATCTCCCTTCCCCCATCCCAACCTCCCCCCTCACTGTCTTCTCCCATCCCCACATTGTCTCTCTTTCCCCATCGCCACCCTCCCCCCAGCCTGTTCCTCATTCTCCATCCCCACCCCTTACTCACCCTGTCGCCTTTCCCCATCCCCATCCCTCTTCCGTCCTATCTCCCTTCCCCCATGCCTGACCCTCCCCCACCCCCTCCTTTCCCACTCTCATCTCCCCTCCTCCCCGCCCATTGTCTTATCTCATCCCCCACCACGTCTCCCTTTCTTCCCTACTCCCTCTGCCCCTCCTCCTCCCAGTCCTCACCCGACTGGATCTTGTAAGATTTCAACCGGGAAGGAACGAGAACTGGGGATTGGTCAGACGGGACTGCTTGTTCCCACCGCTGCCTCTAGGGCGCTTGCTGAGTCACCATCTCGCTCTTTGCTTCCAGCAACTTCGTGGCGTGGCGCACTGTCTGTGGAAAAACGTGAGTTCAAGCCCTGAGTCCTCGCTGCCCCACAAGGTGACCTTGGGCTTGTGCGCTGGCACCGCCCCTGTCCCCAGTCCCTGTTTTTTCTCCGGAAATGGGTCAAAGACCAAAGAAAATGATATTCCCCACTTGGGTCACCCCGAGCTGCCTGCCCTGGAACACTGGCCGCAGTTGAGGTGGTGTGTCTGTAGCGATGCTTTGAACCGCGGCGGCGCTCGGTGGTGGGAGCTCCTCAGGGTGGGTGCGCATTCGCAGTGCGGTAGGTGCTCTGGGACTCGGCCCCTCTGAAGGTGCTGGGGGTTGGGAATGGCCCACCCAGTGGCGTAGGCATCCTAGGAAGGCGGGAGCAGACGCAGAAATGTGGCTGCAGGACGGTAGTCAGGGTCCTTGACCACAGGGGTCACTTGTGACGGAGCACATGGTCTGTTGTTCCTGTTGCACCCTGGTTGAGCCCAGGAGACACTGGTGCTCAGGTTTGGAGCTAGGGATTTGCACTGAAAGGGTGGTATTAAGTGTCCGGTTGTCAGTTGCCTCAGCAGTATTTGCAGAGGTTTTCACAGGAGGCCGTTGTTTCGTAAATATTATACATGTGTCCTTGTCTTTGGAGCATCTTGATTATTACTCTCAAATATGCGTGGAAGCAGGTGACTGAGACCTAGAAATCAAGTGTTGGAGGTCCTGAGGCCAGCCAGAATCGCTTCAAAATGGAACGAAGGCATCTGCGGGTAAGAAAGACCCCTGAAATGTCTCGGGTGCCCAGAGAAGCCCTGTTCCCCTCTGTCCTTGACACTCAGGAGCCAGATGGGAGCTGCATCCTGAGTCCCTCACAGTAGAGGAAGAGGCAGGAGCTGCTTCTATAATTTCAGGTCATGTCCCCAAAAGGGCATTTCACTCATCCTGTCCTGCTGTTTTGTGTAAGATTCAACCCTATCCTGGGCACGGTGGCTCATGCCTGCAATCCCAGCACTGTGGGAGGGCGAGGCAGGCGGATCGCCTGAGGTTAGGAGTTCAAGACTATCGTGGCCAAAATAGTGAAACCCATCTCTACTAAAAATACAAAAAAAGACTTAGGCATGGTGGCGCATGCTGGTAGTCCCAGCTACTCTGGAGGCTGCGGCAGGAGAACTGCTTGAACCCAGGAGGCAGAGGTTGCAGTGAGCCGAGATCGTGCCATTGCACTCCAGCCTGGGTGACAAGAGCAAAACTCCTTCTCAAAAAAACAAAAAACCCGAATGTGTTGGGGACCTTACTGCCAAACCCATGATTACATTCAGAGCCAGGGTAATCAGCCACCAAAGCCCACACTTTCCAGCGGTGTCAGAGAGGGTGAGCTCAGGGAGGCTTTGTCTCACTGCCCCTTGGCCTTGGGCCAGTAGGTTTAAGTGTCGGTCCTGCAAGGTGAGCAACCAGATTGCACTACCTCATCTTTGGGTGCCGCTTGGGGCGATCAGGGAGAACATGCGATCTGGCTAGAAGCCTGGAGACTTGTGCCAGGACCAGAGGCTCAAGGACGACCCTGTGCATGGGACTGTGGGGCCGTGCTCAGATGCTGTTGGTATCCAGACACCCAATATATAATCCCCCCCAATGGTGCTGCTGTCTTCAGAACAGGACATGGTAACCTTGTATCCCAAAACTGTAGCTTCAGGAGTGGCTGTGTCATAGACTGAGCCCAAGACCCTGAGAGGAGGGGTGCATGCAGAGAGGAGAGGGTCGACGTCATGACCTCAGGGAAGCTTGGGAGAACAGAGAAGGGTCAGCCCTGGTTGACCAGGTAGCTCATCAGTACTGGGCTGCTAGAAGGTTACCTCCTTAGTGTCTCTTACCTGTGCAGAGAGAAGAATGAGATGCCCCGGGGCTCTGCCTTCCAGGCTCCCCACACCCTTCTTATCCCTGCCACAGAGGTTGGCAAGGGGTGTTCCTAGGAGTTGTTCTGAGTCTGGCACCCCAGGCAAACAGAGCTACTGGACTAAGGTGCCTCAAGGCAGTGAGTGCAGATTTGGGGGATTTTTTTTTTTTTTTTACTGGGAGTGTCCTGCCCCCTTTTCTCATCCTCCTGGAAGACCTGGCAGAGCCCACAGACCTCTCTGCTAAACATGGACTTGCGGTCTCCCTGGACTGAGGTGACGGATACCACCTATATGGAGGCTGCTGCTCTCATCCCTGACCCTGTCTGTGGCAGCCACATACAAAATGGGGTGTCCCCATTTTAACTTGCTTCTCCAGCCATACCCATGGCAGGCTGGCACACATACACAGCTGTAGGGAGCCCTGGACCAGGAGCCAGGGGCTGCATTCCCATGTCACCATCCCACGGTCTGCACTGCAGTTCATATGCACACACATCACTCTTGCTGGCCACTAGTTACCTGCACCCAGAAGGGAAAACCCAATAAGCCCACTGCTGGATTACATACCTTGAGTGAGGCATTAATGAGCCCAGGAAAGCCAAATGCTTTGGCAAGTTTTTAAGCTTTACCAGACATGAGGAGTTACTTTACCCCGTCGTTGTGACAGAATCCAGCTTATTCAGCTTTAGGCTTGTAGTTTCCATCTCTAGAGCAGAGTAAATGAAGAAGATGGATGTGACAGAAAGGATGAAGATGTCCCAGAGGGACCACAGCAGAAGTCTTCACACTGAAGGCACTCTCAGAGATGTGTCTTGAGAAGGCACAAAGGGTGAATGATTGGAAGCTTATCCAGGCTTACCAGTGTCACAGTTCAGAACACAGAACACTTGGAAGAAGGGGGCAGGCACCGTTCATGCTACTCTTGATAAGTTGGGTTTTGGTTTTTTTTAGATAGAGTCCCTCTCTCCCAGGCTGGAGTACAGTGGTGCAATCTTGGCTCACTGCAACCTCTGCCTCCCGAGTTCCAGTGATTCTCCTGCCTCAGCCTCACAAGTAGCTGGGACTACAACATGGTGAAACCTCGTCTCTGCTGAAAATGTGAACAATTAGCCGGGCATGGTGGTGCATTCCCATGTCATCATCCATGCCCGGCTAATTGTCTGCATTTTTAGCAGAGACGGGGTTTCACCATGTTGGCCAGGCTGGTCTCGAACTCCTGACCTCAGGTGATCTGTCCGGGTCGGCCTCCCAAAGTGTTGGGATTACAGACGTGAGCCACCGCGCCTCGACCTCTTGGTAAGTTTTTTACAAAGCAATAAAACATTTTGATTCTTAATATTTATATCACAATATGCTGAACAAACTAGTTTTGCTATTTTTTTCACTTCTCTGTACATTTATAACTAAGAGGGAGTTATTAGTGCTTTGAAAAAAACATATTTAATGGTCACAGCAAAATCAAATAGGCGGGCAGATCACTTGAGGTCAGGAGTTCAAGATTAGCCTGGCCAACATGGTGAAACTCATCTCGACTAAAAATACAAAAATTAGCCGGGCATGGTGGCGGGCGCCGGTAGTCCCAGCTACTCAGGAGGCTGAGGCAGGAGAATCACTTGAATCGGGGAGGTGGAGGTTGCAGTGAGTCAAGATTGTGCCACTGCACTCCAGCCTGGGTTACAAAGCAAGACTGTCTAAAAACAAAGAATAGAAGGTCCAGGCCTCAGAGGTACCCTGAGAGGAAGATCAAGACTAAGTATTCCTTCTTGTCACCCAAAATAGCAGTTGATGTACCCCAAGCTTTCAGTAAGAGGTTTTGAGTAAATCAAGGCGAGAGAATCAGCTGTGCCAGACACTTGGCATTGAGTATGTCCACAGGGCCAGCCTGCTCCAGTGCTTCCCACCAGCCCTCAACACGGACCTAGAGGATTTTTTTCAGTCCGTTGTGAGGCCAGTGCCCTTGGGATCCCTGAGGTTTGTTGTTCTGGTGGAAAGTGCCAGACAGCCTGACGCACCTTGCTTATCCTCTCAGCTACTGTCACCCCTGTGGCCTAGAGATTGAGGGTTAGCTGGAGACCGGGACACAGTACCAGCTTGCAGTGTCTCTGGCTCTTTCCTGAAAAGCAGAGTCCGATGAGGCTGTCAAGTGAGGAGGAGGAAGTGGAAAAGTCCCAGAGAGCATCCCTCTCTGGCCCAGAGGCCAAGACTGAGTCCTTCTCCTTCCCTTTTAACTTCTTTCTCGTTTCTGCTTCTGGATTGATAATCAGCTCTTTCCCCATACTCTCCATTGGTCTGACTGTGCCGTGGGGGTGGGGCAACAGTCAATCCCATTGACACCTCACCCACACCAAGGCAAACAAAGCCAGACCCTCAGGACACTACCATCCCCCAAACTATGGCCACAGTGTCCCCACCTGACTCACAAGTTACCAGCTTTTAAGGGACACAGCTGGCTGAGAGCCAGGAGTCCTGACCTCCCGCTCTGCTCTCCTCCCCTTAAGCTTGGCTCCACATTAGCAGCTCTGGACCATTCCCTGTCCAGCATCGCTGTTCCTTCCAAGTCCCTCTGCTCCCCTGAGCCTGGAATGACAGCAGACTCTTACCCTCTGCACTGTGCCTTGAGAAGCACGTCCCATGGGATTAGCTGGCTGTGCCCAGGGTGACCTTGTCATGTTTAGGTCTAGAGACTTTTTATCTGAAGGAAAACCAAACCCCGGGGCAGAAAGGGTCAACAGAGATGTAAAATGTTTAAAAAGGCATCTAGGGCAAAATATGTCAGGCTAATGAGAGACCTGATGGAGATCAAAGACTTCCTGGATTCTGGTGGAATCTTCTCTGTTCAAGGGCTGGGAAAATAACCTCAAAGGGAGAGCTGCTGGCATGGGAACTGGGCTCCAGCCCTCAGCAGACCAGAGTAGTCAGGGTCTTCCTGTGGCACCCAGAAGGGAGCATCTTCCTGCATTCACAGTGCCTCCGGATGCAGAAAAACAGCTGGGCTTTTTTATGCCCTGCACCTTGTGGCTTGTCGTGTTCTCCAAAATAGCTCATGGAATTGGGGAGAATTCTTTGATTTCTGTAAACACCAGTGAAGGGTATCTTCCAGCATCTCTGTCACATCCCAGACTCCGGCAGAGGTAGTCTGACATTCCAGGGTGCAGGAGGAGAGGACCACCGGGGCAGCACAGGCCAGGAAAGGCAAATCAGATGCACAGAAACATTCTAAAGACCTGAAGGACCCAGGGCAGATACCTTCGTGGTCCCCATTGGGATTCTGTGACTAGAGAAGAGGGCCACCCCTGTGATGAGCTCAGAGGCCACTCTGGCCTGTGCAGCCCACAAGGACCATGAGAACAGAACATGCAGAAATGTCTCCACAGTTCCTGCCTGGACCTTAGGAGTCATGCTGGGCCCCAGTCTCTTCACTCTTCCCTGGCACTGGGAGGAAGGACAGCACCTTTGTGCAGTTGTGCTCTGGTGCTGCTTTCTCCATTACCACTGGACAGACAGGCAGTGTGAAGCTGGGCAGAGGAGTGTCCCCTGCCTCAGGGAGATTGCACAGCTCAGACTTCATTGCAGTTCCTCCTTCCTTGGATCTCCCGAAAGCTGGGATCCCATAGAAACTTCCCTAACTTTTGGACTTGTGCAGTTTTCTGTTTTCCCATGGTTTATGTGAAACTCACCAGTCTGCTCTTACTTGCTTTTTTGTTTTTTTGAGACAAGAGTTTCGCTCTTGTTGCCCAGGCTGGAGTGCAGTGGCATGGTCTCAGGTCACCGCAACCTCCACCTCCTGGGTTCAAGTGATTCTCCTACCTCAGCCTCCCGAGTAGCTGGGAATATAAGCATGTGCCACCACGCCTGGCTAATTTTGTATTTTTAGTAGAGATAGGGTTTCTCTTTGTTGGTCAGGCTGGTCTTGAACTCCTGACCTCGAGTGATCACCTACCTTGGCCTCCCAAAGTGCTGGGATTACGTGGCTCCCGCCCGGCAATCAGTCAGCTCTTTCTTAATGCTGAGATTGTTTGACCGTTAGGGAGGGAAATGATCTGTGTAAACCCCTCCTCACGTAAGGGGTACCAGTTCCTGCCTGCCTGGAGCTGAGCAAGTTGTTCCCCACACAGAGTCAAGGGCTTAGAAGGCTAAACATGAAAATGACAGTGAACGTTAGATTTTCTGTGAAGGCTGCTTGAGGTAATGAGGAGAATTGCTGCCGCCTTTGCTGTGCCCAGAAGGTGCTTAATGATTAGGAACATTGACAATGAGTTTTGTTACTAATCTAAGTCTCCTGCAGCGGAAGAGTAAAGCTGATTGCCTAGGAATTAAAGAAAATGTAGAGCACATTGTAGTTTAACCCCATTTTCACAAAGGCCATTTGGTGTTGATGGTAAAAAATCGGAGAAAGTAGTCTCCAGAGAGTTAACCAAAATGGAAAACCCCCGTCAGTGAATTCCAGCCTCCTCACCCAAGCCAGGGCAAACAAAGCCAGCCCCCCAAGACATTCCTAGCTAGACACTTGCCAGTAGAATATAAGGATTGTAGGGATATCACAGTGCATGAGGCAGAGAATGGCCTGGAGAATTCTTTGCATGGAGAGGTTCCGAAATTTCAAAAGCGCCAATGTGTGATCAGGCCTGGGATAGGGATGATCCCTAAGCAGATCCCTAAATGCCAAATATAACTTCAGTTTTTGTGAGAGAAAATGTGTTGACATTTGTGCACTGTGCCTAGCATGGAAAGAGAGAAACGTTGGAGTATAATTGATATGCCTGATGGTATTTCACTGATGAGAATCTCTGTACCTGAGAAACTTAGGGGCAAGAAGAGGCTTTTTGAGGCTGCATTTGAATCAGCTGTTTTCTTGAAATATGGGAACATTAGTAATAGGAAGGGACCGGCCATTGGAGATTATGTTTTGGGTAAAGGCCTTTCCTGCTGCCTGTGAACAGCCCAGTGTGCTTGAAGATGACACCTAATCATAAAGAGAAGGTCTTCTGATAACGTCCTTCATGGCAGGGATGTGTGCTTTGGGCTCTTGTTTCTTTCTTTCCCTGGCTCCAAAATTCCTGAGAAACCGCAGTGGCTTTCGGACGTGAAAACATTGCCATCCTAGGTTTGGTCACCAATATGACCCTCTGTCCCACCTCTCCAGCCCACATTCCTAGATTTAATCTGGTCAAGACTGCCAAGAGGATCCTGACTTCTGGAAGAAAGCATCCTTTCCCTGTAGGGAGGAAGACTGAACTCCCCCCTGCTTCAGTGATTACCTTGGCTTTACTGAGCCTATCTTTTGTCTTCCTTCGCCATTCCCCTTTTTAATGTCTCCATCCAGACCAAAGTTTTTCAGTTCCCCAAACAAAACGTATCTGACTTGGCAGTGATCCATCCACTCAGTCCTATGACAAATGCCCAGCCCCACCCTTACTTCTCACTCCTAGTTGTGGTGTAATTTTGACCCAGCTTCCTTCAGGACAGCCTTGATCTTCAAGGTCCGGAAGCCCCGCCACCGCTCCTTTGTACCTCTGTTTCTCCCTGAATAGGCACGTGATTTGCTGTGTTACGGAACATAGAGTCTAAGTGACAATTTGATACTTGGGGATTTTTGGGGAGTAGGAAGGGGGAATGACGTAAAGCTCTCTTAACTGGAATATTCAGGTAATTTCGATGTGGCCAAAAATTCCCCCAACAATTATACTTTCTGGGTGGTTTTGTTGACTTTTTCTTTCCCTTTTGTAAATAGACATCCCATTCAATCCGTTGAACCTGAAGTAAGTAAAAAATAAAAACCCATCAGGATTCCCTGGCTGGAGATCCAGGAATGTAAGCAGATTTGGCTCTCCCATTGGCAGCATGGAGTTGAAAGGAGAGGTATGCCCAGAAAGGCCTGTAATAGCTTCTGAGGGGCCAGACGAGGGACCCAGAAGCCTTGGAGTCAAAGTTGTGGTCCTCCCAGAGGCCTGGGTAGATGGCTTCTGCACCACACCTGGGTCTAGGGAGTCATCAGGCTGTGGCCACTGCCTCCTTTCCACGGTCAGCCCAGGGTCTCCACGGGCTGTGAGGGCCGATGCCACTTAGACGGTTTTCATTTTTCTTTCCTTACAAAGAAACAGGCTTTGCTCTTGCCTCTAAATGTAGTTCTACCTTAATCCAACATTTTTATTTCATTATTGGATTGATTTCTTAATTGATACATAATTGTACATATTTATGGAGTACATGTGAAATTTTAGTTTATGCAGATAGTGTGTAATGATCAAATTATGGTAATTAATTATAGCCATTACCTCAAACATCATTATTTCTTTGTATAGAATCCCAGACATTTTGATTTCTGCCATTTTGTGTATGTTTAAACTGATTTCTTAAACAGCTTTTTTTGAAAATAAAAGACATCTAGTTAGTTGGAATTTTACTTTATTACCGTTAAATAGTGTGTGGCAAGCAATTATAATTTGCATTATTGATGATTTTTTTAAATGATTTGTGATTTGCTAATTAGCCTTTTTTTAACTAAAAGCTTAAAAATATTCCATAGATTTATTTTTTCAGATGCTTTGGAATTAAAGACATTTTCATATTTTTTAATAGAGATAAGGTTTCATTGTGTTGCTGGTCTTGAAATCCCGGGCTCAAGCCATCGTCCCACCTCGCCCTCCCAGAGTGATGGGATTATAGACACAAGCCACTGTGCTGGAGAGAGTAGGCGTTTTCAAGACCTCTAGTATACAAAATGGTGACCGTAGTTAACAACATACTGAGTACGTGAAAACCATTGAGAGTACGTTTTAAGTGTTCTCACCACAAGTATGTGAGAGAATACGTATGTTAATTAGCTTAAGGTATCCATTCTACGATGTATACATACTTCAGAGCATCATGTTGTACACCAGAAATATACACAATTTTTATTTGTCAGTTTTTAAACAGCGACGTTTTAGGGAAGAAGAGGGCTTTGTGTTCCTGCAAAGTGCTTGCTCCCCTGATTCCCTGTCAAAGCAGTAACTGTACATAAAAGAGACACACTTGAAACGCAGGTCTCAGAATGTGTTTCATTTTACTTCTGAATGCCGTGTAATACTGTTGGGTTGCTTCTGTAGTTTTCTCATTTAAATTTTTTTAGTGAAATAATAACGACACCCATTGTGCATTGTGCGTGTGTGCCTAGTCTTTCCCATCCGGCTTACTTGTTGGACCAGAGAAGGAAGCTGTCCTGGGCTATCTGACACTCCAGTTTGAATTGTTTCTGAGTGATCATCAGAATCTTTTTCCCAAAATGAGCTGGCTCAGCTCTCAGGCTCCTTAGTTCTCACTTCACAGGGGAACTAGAATTAAATAGAGTAGTGGGTAGATACAGGATAGGGCCAGTGGTCATCCTGTTCCCTCCTCTGTGCTTAATGAGATGCTCATCCTGGTGCCAGCAGAGCTATGCCTTTGTGGCCAACCACTGCAGAATGGAATCAGGGTAAACTGAGAACTCCCCTGCTATTGCTAGCACAGTGACTTTGGCCCTAAGTTGGTTCCTCAGAAGGGTAAGGAAAAGATAAGAGTTGCTTGCGCTTGGCCTGAAAGGGATGCCTTGTTCCCCGCATGTTTTCTCAGACTTGCATTCAGAGCCGGTTCATCAGCATGAGCATGTGGACGAGCCCACGGAGACTTGTGGACCTGGCAGGGCAGAGCCTGCTGAAGAATGAGGCCCTGGCCATCGCTGCCCTGGAGATGCTCCCCAGGGAGCTCTTCCCGCTGCTCTTCACGGCAGCCTTTGATGGGAGACACGACCAGACCGTGAAGGCGATGGTGCAGGCCTGGCCCTTCACCTGCCTCCCTCTGGGAGTGCTGATGAAAGGAGAGCAGCTTCTCGTGGACACCTTCAAAGCTGTGCTTGATGGAGTTGATATGCTGCTTGCCCAGGACGTTCGCCCCAGGTAAGTGTGATCCAGCAGCTTGCTGCAGGGCCCTGGGAACCTGAGCAGAATGCAGCTGGAGTCACAGAGTGTGGAGCATCTCAGTCTGGGCCAGAGGCTCCAATGGTGCCAGCAAGGAAGCTCGGGAGGGCGTTGGGGCCACTGCAGGGGTCACTCTCGGAATGGGCTTCTGGACATGGGGCACTGATTAAAATGCAGAGGTGTCTGAAGGAACATGCACCTACTTCTTCCTGGTGGGGTGGGAAGTGGGGACCAGGAAGGATCCCAGGATCCTTGTGGGAAAGGGAGCAGCTGACGCCTGGAGTGTGGAGTAAAACTGCAGATCGAAGGTGGATGTGCGTTTGGTTCTTAGCTACATTATGGGACTCATAGTCTTATTCTGAGTTGATCTTAAAGCATCTCAAATAATTACCTGTTTTCCCCACAGGAGGTGGAAACTCAGAGTGCTGGATTTACGAAAGAATTCTCATCAGGACTTCTGGACCGTTTGGTCTGGAAAAAGGGTCAGTCTGTGCTCATTTCCAGAGCCAGAAGCAGCTCAGCCCGTGAGAAAGAAGCGAAAAGTAGATGGTTCGAGCACAGAGGCAGAGCAGCCCTTGACTCCGATGGAGGTTCTCGTAGACCTGTCCCTCAAGGAAGGTGCCTACGATGAATTGTTCACGCACCTGATTGAGATAGTGAGGCGGAAGAAAGATGTCCTACACCTGTGCTGTAAGAGGCTGAAGATTTTTGCAATGCCTGTGCACAATATCAAGATGATCCTGAAAATGGTGCAGCTGGACTCTATTGAAGATTTGGAAGTGACTTGCACTTGGAAACTACCCACCTTGGCGAAATTTTCTCCTCACCTGAGCCAGATGAGTAATCTGCGTAGACTACTCCTCGCCCACATCCATCCGTCGTCTTTCATTTCCCCAGAGAAGGAGGAGCAGTGTATCACCCAGTTCGTCTCTCAGTTCCTCAGTCTCCACTGCCTCCAGGACCTTTACGTGGACTCTCTATTTTTCCTCAGAGGCCGCCTGGATCAGTTGCTCAGGTGAGGGATGGTGAGGTTTCTCTGCAGGACAGAGCAAGCCCTTCTTTATTGCAGTAAACGATAAAGGACATTTTCTATGTGCCAGACACCAATAAAGCAGGAGTGAGCAACTCACTACAAGTTAACACATCTTGTTCACCACTCTGTCCCCAAGCATGGTATCACGTAACTACTACTCATGAAGGTTAGAGGTATACGTAAGGATAGATGCCATTAACAGTGACTCCTTGTTAGAAAACTCTAATGGGAGATTGGGGCCTGGCAAGAGTGCCTTTAGGCATTCTTCCTTAGGAAGTGATGCCTAAGATGACCAGAAATAAGCAAAAAGGGCATTGAAGAAGGGAAAAGCCCTTCAAAGGTGAGATTTGAAGTTGTAAGCTGTGCGCTCACCAGCTTCTCAACAAGAGCTGCTGCCTCTAAACCTGCCTCAAATTTCTTGTCTATAAAGGGTGATTTAGAACTCCAGTTAAGGTAATTATGTGGGTAATGCAGGATTCTGAAGATGGGGGAGAAGGAACAAGAGCGAAGAATTGCACAAATTGATAGGTGGTTTGCTGATGATACAGTGATCGAAGGCAGCCCTGCAGCCTGGTAACCCCCTTCGGACGTTGCTGTCCTTGCCCGAGTTTGTCCTCTGTGAATACTCCCCAGTAGCTTCATCAGGCACAGATACAGGTGACTGGGGCCCATGAAGGGGCCAGAAGCAGCCAAAAATTGAAAGAATTTTTGGCTCTGTATTCAAATACTAAAATTCACTGGTGGTCTGTCTTGCGACATCAGATCAGGCATTCTTTCTCAATTCAATTTATGCTCACACCACCTAAGGGGTCTGTGTTGGATGGACCCTGCCTCACAGATTAGCCAAGAGAGCGTTTTGAGATTTTTGTTTACTTGACCCACTTAGGCAGCAAATAATGGAGAAAGGACTGCACCTGAACTGGGACTCACTCGAATGCCCCTTTACAGCATGGCATCTTGGGGGCTAGCCATCAGCAGGCAGACTGGGTTTTGGTGAAATGGGTCTCTCTCCAGTCTCCCCGCCCCGCCACCTCCATTCCCCAGCACTAACTGCTTTGTCTATTTGCAGATGCATGATGAACCCCTTGGAAACCCTCTCGATAACTAACTGCTGGCTTTCAGAAGAAGATGTGACACATCTGTCCCAGAGCCCCAGCATCAGTCAGCTGAGTGTCCTGAGTCTAAGTGGGGTCATGCTGACCGATATGAATCCTGAGCTCCTCCAAGCTCTGCTAGAGAGAACCTGCGCCACCCTGCAGGACCTGGACTTGGATGAGTGTGGGATCACGGATACTCAGCTCCTTGTTCTTCTGCCTTCCCTGAGCCACTGCTCCCAGCTTACCACCTTGAGCTTCTGTGGGAATCCCATCTCCATGTCTGTCCTGGAGAGCCTCGTTCACCACATCATCGGGTTGAATAATCTGAGCCACGTGCTGTATCCTGTCCCCATGGAGAGTTATGAGGACGTCAATGGCACCCTCGACCTGGGCAGACTTGCCTTTCTGCACAACAGGCTTAGGGAGTTGCTGTGCGAATTGGGGCGGCCTGGCATGGTCTGGCTCAGTGCCAACCCTTGTCCTCACTGTGGGGACAGAACCTTCTATGACCCAGATCCCATCCTGTGCCCCTGCTTCATGCCTGCCTAGCTGGGTGCACATGTCAAATGCTTCATTCTGCATACTTGGACACTGAAGCCCAGGATTCAAGTGCATCTTGAAGCAACACAACAGCCACAGTTTGAGACAAATGTTCAGTGGGGGGGGATGGGGGGTGGGGGTGGGGTGGGGGGTGGGGGGTGGGGGGGAAGTGGGGGGTGGGGGGGAAGGGGGGGAAGGGGAAGTTGGGGGTGGGCAGAAGTTGACTTGAGGAGTTGACGGAATCCTTGGGACATGCATCCTATAGACTTAGAAATAGAATCTGAATTTCTAAAGGGAGATTCTGGCTTGGAAAGTACATGTGGGAGGTAATCCCTCTGTGGACTGTTGTGGAAAAAAAAAAAAACTTAGAAATAGAAGCAATATGAAGCATCTGGTGTCTTGTAGTATATGAACCTGCTTTCCCAGTTAAACCTCAGGAAATCTCCAGTTGCTGATTAAATAAGACACTGCTTATCACCTGAGGTCAGGAGTTCAAGAATAGCCTGACCAACATGGTGAATCCCCATCTTTATTTTATATTTTTTTAAAGTAAAAAAAACTAAATTCCTTTTAGCAAGACACTAAGATCATATTTGTTTAGTATTTGTACCCACATTAAAAATAGGACGTCATCTTGTGGTCCCATCAGTGAGAAAATTACTTCTTCCACAAGTGTCCGCCCACCTACTTAACGAGGTGTTAAGCTGAGTCTGAGCCAGTGAGACGCCCTGGATTTGGGGTCCCATTTGTGAACAAACTTATGGCAGTTGCTAGGGAGCACTTAGGGGAAACCAGATGAATCAATGTCAGATTTGAGAGTAGTTGTAGGCGGAGGCCGCCCTACAGAAGATCTGTCCAAACGGATGGGAGACGTCCTACTGTGCAGGTTGACACTACAATCCCTGGGCAGTCAGCGCTCCTGCCTGCTGGTGCTCTTATGCTACCATGTCCTGCTGCCCTTAGGCTGCCTCACCTCCCTCACTGCACAGCTTCCCAAAGAAGCTCCTGGGAAGAAGGCCACACACCACGGCCCAGGGGCGGGCTCTGTCTGCATGTAGCTGTGAGTGCCAGCACACAGCTATTCTGAGCCTATTTTGAGGCCTCTGTCTTGGTGATAACCACCCATGCATGCTGCTGGCATTGTAGACTGTCCGCAACTTCCTATCTTGCCACACACGGCAGCTGGGCCTTTCAACCTTTTTTCTTCTGTTTCCCCCACTTCAAATCTACCCTAAACCCTGTAAGAAACAGAAATAGGCCAGGCACGGTGGCTCATGCCTGTAATCCCAGCACTTTGGGAGGCCAAGGTGGGTGGATCACCTGAGGTCAGGAGTTTGAGACCAGCCTGGCCAACATGGTGAAACCCTGTCTTTACTAAAAATACAAAATTAGCAGGGTGTGGTGGTGGGCACCTGCAATCCCAGCTACTCAGGAGGCTGAGGCAGGGGAATCACTTGAACCTGGAGACAGGTTGCGGTGAGCCAACATCACACCATTGCACTCCAGCCTGGGCAACGAGAGCCACTATCCTAAGTGAACCAGCTCAGAAACAGAAAACCAAATACTGCATGTTCTCACTTACACGTTGGAGATAAACAATGGGTACGCATGGGGCTCCTGGAGGAAGAAGTATGGGAAGTAGAAAAGTTCCTCTTCAAAGTTTCCTTTCTTGTTTAAGAAAAAGTTTGGTTTTTTTTGTTTGTTTTTTGGCTAGTAAGAGAACTAGGTGACAAATGCATTTTCAGAGGAAGAGAATGATGATCTCTGGCCATTGTTAGGGCTAGACTGAATAGGCCAAGGACACTGTATTATAAGTCTCCATCTACATGTTTATCTCCTAGGTTGCTGAGAGCTCCTTGGGAGCAGGAATGGTATATAGCAGGAGTGGTACAGCTTTGAAGTCAATGAGATGGCTGTTTTTCCTTAGGGTAATTCTCTTGGTCCTTCTTTTATTTTATATATATATATTTTTTATAATAAGAAAAAGAATAAAGAAGAGGCAGAAAGAGAAAGAGGAAGAGGGAGAGAGGATGGGGGTATTGCTTTTTTGCCCAGGCTAGAATGCAGTCTAAATATGGGTATGCCTATAATTGTCGTTAATAATGGAGACATGAAAGAAAATGAGGGAAGAGAATAACAAACAAGGAGCCAGCCAACATTTCGTTTAAACTTCTAAGTTGATATGATGTGGTACTGATAAGAGTGTATATTTTGTGTATTTAAAGTGGAGAGTTCTATAAATGTTAATTACGTTTACTTGTTCCAGATCTGACTTCAAGTCCTGGATATCGTTGTTAATTTTCTGTCTCATTGATCTGTCTTTATAAGTCTTGTATATCTGGGTATTCCTGTATTGGGTGCGTATATATTTAGGACCTTTAACTCTTCTTGTTGTTGCATTGATTCTTTTATCATTATATAATGTCCTTCTTTGCTTCTTTTGATCTTTGTTGCTTTAAATACTATTTTATCAGGGGCAAAAATTGTAACTTCTGCTTTTTATTTATTTATTTTTGCTCTCTGGTTGGTTGGTAAGTCTCTCTCCATCCCTTGTTTTGAGTCTTTGTGTATCCTTGAATGTGAGATGGGTCTGGATGCAGCATACAGTTTTAGTTTTTTGTCGAAATTGCCTGTCTGTCTTTGAATTGGGGAATTTAGTCAATTTAAATTTAAAATTAATAATGATATATTACTTTTTGGTATTTTTTAGAAAGGCTGATACTGTTTGTTCCTTTCTATGTGTAGTGGTTCTTTCAGAAGCTCTTGTAAAGCAGGCCTGGTGGTGATGAATTCTCTGAGTGCTTGCTTGTTCACAAAAAACTTTATTTTTCCTTCACTTATGATTGGCTGGATGTGAAATTCTTGGTTGAAAGTTCTTTTCTTTAAGGATTTTGAATATTGGTCCCCACTCTCTTCTGGCTTGCAGGGTTTCTGCTGAGAGATCTGCTGTGAGTCTGATAGGCTTCCCTTTGTGGGTAACCTGACCTTTCTCTCTGGCTGCCCTTAGTATTTTCTCCTTCATTTCAACCCTGGTGAATCTGACGATTATGTGCCTTGGAGTTGCTCTTCTTGAGGAATATCTTTGTGGTGTTCTCTGTATTACCTGGAGTTGAATATTATCCTGCCTTACTAAGTTGGGAAAATTTTCCTGAATAATGTCCTGAAGCATATTTTCCAGCTTGGATTCATTCTCTTCGTCACATTCAGGTGGACCTATCAAGCGTAGATTAGGTCTTTTCACATAGTCCCATATTTCTTGGAGACCTTGCTTGTTCCTTTTTATCCTTTTTTCTCTAATCTTGTCTTCTAGTTTTATTTCATTGAGTTGGTCTTCGACCTCTGATATCCTTTCTTCTGCTTGATCAATTCGGCTGTTAAAACTCGTGCATACTTCACGTAGTTCTCATATTGTGTTTTTCAGCTCCATCAATTCACTTATTTTCCTCTCTAAATTTTGTATTCTTGTTGACATTTCGTCAAACTTTTTTTCAAAATTTTTAGTTTCGTTAGATTGTGTTAGAACAAGGTCTTTTAATTCACAGAAGATTCTTATTATCCACGTTTTGAAGCCTGCTTCTGTAATTGGAACACACTCGTTCTCCATCAAGCCTTGTTTTGTTGCTGATGAGGAACTGGGTTCCCCTGCTGAGGAAGAGGCGTTTTGATCTTGGGTATTCTCAGTCTTTTTTGACTGTTTTCTTCCCTTCGTTGTAGATTATCCATCTGTGGTCTTTATAATTACCGTCTTTGTAATTGGGTTTCTGAGTGGACGTCCAACTTATTGATTCTCAGCGCCAAAATCTGAGCAACCCACTGCGCTGACTAAGTCAGCGGCGTTAAGATTGACGGTGCTTTTCTGACTCTGCACCAAGAACCGACGCTCCGAGGCGCCGGCAAAACCGCCTCGCCGGTCACAAGAGTCGCACTGGCGACCCGTGGGGCTCCTCCGCTGGAAATCTCCTGGTGCGTGAGCAACAAGAATTCATGTGAAGGTGTGGCGTCCTCTCATTCTTTGTGCTTTCACTGGGAGCTACAATCCCGAGCTGCTAGTGATCAGCCATCTTGAATCTCTCTCGGAAAAAGTTTTAAGTGTTAGAAATAATAGTTTGTTTTAAACACTTTCTTTAAAAGCCTTCTTGCTTTTTGCTAACAGCTCTTTGTTAGGCCCTATCCTATGTAGCTGTTAGACATGGTTTCAGGCACGTAGTACCTTCTATGTCCTTGTACTTTAACTAAGATATCTGTGCTGGACGTGCCCACAGGCATGTTCCAGCTCGAAGCCTATGCCCCTTCCTTATTTGGACTTCCTTTTTTTTTTTTTTTTTTTTTTTTTTTTGCTCTCTATTGCTTTTTACCTGTTTAGAAACGTTTCAAGCTATTAGCCAATTGGATTTTAGTTTAAATTGTGAGGTCTGGCTCCAGCCAGTGGAGATCAGACACAGCAGTCAGGACAACCCCATATGCATAAGGAATAAATACGTCTGCTTTCCTTTGTTGTACTCTCATGGCAAGATTGCTAATGGGGGTACCCTTTCCGCAGGAAGGAAAAAGAATTGCTTTGCTGAGAGATCCTTTGTCCCAATACTAATTTTTTCTTTCCATTACCAAAAAGAAAACTTTGACATATAACAAGAAGGAAGAGAGCAGGTAATTTCCTGAGCGCAGCCTGTTGCCTGAGGGTATCCCCATTTTGACGGCTAAAAGGTGGCTTAAGACCCCCCTCCCAGTTTTGGCTTTCCTAAAGTCAGAACTGGACATTCCTCTCCCCGGTTCCAGGGAGCCCACTTGCCCAAGGCTCATAGTGAAGACGTTCTACAAGTCTAGAAGGAGAAAACTGAAGAATAGGCTCCCCTTTTAAAATTCTCCTTCTAGTCAGATTACTGGCTACAGGCCCAAAGCCTACCTGAAAAGTTTGTCTTCTCTCCGCTCAGTCTGCAGAAAGCATTTACGCTTCTCCATGGAAACCACCTTGGGTAAGTAGCCATCTCTCCCCAGCAGACCTGCCTAATATCTGTAGACCATGTTGAACTTACACCCTCTGCTTCTTTGTAACTTCACATTGTAAGGTCTTTTCTAATATTAGGCAATTAGCATTCAGACCATTCAAGTATACAGTTATTT